TTTTTTTTAGCGGTACGTGGGCCTCTCACTGTTGTGGCCTCTCCCGTTGCGGAGCACAGGCTCCGGACGCACAGGCTCCGGACGCACAGGCTCAGTGGCCATGGTTCACAGGCCCAGCCGCTCCGCGGCATGTGGGATCTTCCCAGACCAGGGCACGAACCCATGTCCCCTGCCTCGGCAGGCGGACTCTCAACCACTGCGCCACCAGGGAAGCCCTAGAGATTTATTAATTAGTAGACATAACTAGGCTCATGGGGAGACTCCCTAAATGAAATTAATAGCAATATGTTTAAGTGTATAATAAGTTTGCATTTCAATAACTTTAAAATTTCCATTTCAGTGGAATCAGATTGAATTGTCAAACACTGAAACCATTTTGTGTTAAACTTGTGGTTTAATTTAAAATGAATCTGACCAGAGGGCTAAAACTTGTGAGATTAAGATTCCCGTTACTTGCCTACAAACCTAGAATTGCTCTCAGGGACTGAAAATATATGGAAAGTTTTCAGCACACATACCGGCCATCAGAACCTCCGCACTATTTTTCTTGGTGAAACTTACCTTCTTTCTGACAGCCTTATAGCACCATCTAGTGTACTCCTTGTAGATAACCAAGACAAAGGACCTGCTCCTTTCTGTTTTCTCCACATTGAAGAGAAAGAAAAATATTATTTTCGAGAAACCTGTATACTTTGTTGAAGTTTAGAGCTTTATAGGAGTCTTTAACTTTTATTCTCTTTTTCTTAAAAGTAGATGATATAATATTCACTATTCCAGATTCTTCATTCTGAATCTGTGATCAGCACCATAGGTAAAGTGTCTACAAAACCTTTTAGTTAGCATGGGATTTTCTTCTTAAATGGTGCTCTATAGCATGAAAAAATGAGTCCAGGAAATCGGTATTCCACAAATAGGCAAATATCAGGAAGATGCCCCACTCTATACAAATTCCCTTTGTTGGATCAAGTAGATGATGATTGATTGTCTCCTACTGTCTTCTTGGGGTTGGAAGGGGCCTTGAAGATCAGGCAGTCCAGTCCCTAGGACTATTCAGTCATCCCTGCTATAGGAATGTTCTTCTCACCCACCATTACTTCTTTTCTTGGCAAATTCTTTCGTAAAATATATCATCCTGACCTGGAAACCATCTCAAACTTCTACCATTCTGGATTAAGTGATCCTCTTAAGGTTCCCCTGGTTCTTTGCACATACCGTTCTCAAAGCTGCATACTACATTAAATTGTCTGTTTTATTTGTCTATCTCCCCCTTTAGGCTGTGAGCTTCTTAATAGCAGGGTCCATTTATTTTTTTGTGTGTTCCCAAACCTGGAACATAGTTCCATAAAGATTTGTTAAATTATTTCTATATTAGTTATTTTAACCCTACCCAGAATGTAAAATAAAAATAATTTAACATATTGTTAGTGGATAAGATTGTATTGAAATGCAATGTACAACCTATAAGATATATGGGATGCTTAATATTAATGCTAATATATGAAGAACTATTCTTGTTTTCTCAAAAGCTGTAAGAGAAAAATAGGAAAAGTTGAAATATTTTTTTTAATTCTTTGAATAAACACTTGCAAATAAACTTCACCCAAAAGTTTCACTTATTTTTAATTATTGGGTCACCCCCATCAGTCTTAAGTATTATTTTGTTGTATGAATATGCTTTAGTTTGGTTTTTGTTTTAGTATTATACCACTAAAATAATTCTATGTATAATAAGTTATAAACTATGATCACAGTCTACACTGAAAGGAAAGTTTTGGAACTTAATGACAGATTTACAGAATGGGCTTAGAATGAATTGTACATTTATCAGACCAAGCCATTGGCATCTGAGGACATGTGTGTGTGGAGTAGAATGAAAGGAAGGAGTGCTTTCACTCAGAGATAAATAACATGTTACATATACACAGTTTGTAAAAAGAGGCAAGGTTGTTGGGGTTAGAGGATTAAAGAATTTCCAATGTTGTATAATGTTTGATCAGCTCAAGACCTAGTTTGTTTGTTTGTTTGTTTGTTTTTAGAAACCTTTCCTTAGTTGCTTCTAGTTTATAACCCAGTCTTAAACCAGAATAATCATTAATAAAATCTATGGGAATATAAACTTTAGACCTTAGAATAGTCATGTATAGAAGCCTAATTTGAAAAATATACCCCTAACCAGTTTAATTTCATCTTTGCTTTGACTTTACATGATATCTTCTCTCCAAAACTTCCAGTGCCCTAATAATATTAACAAAAATAAGATGAGTATTAACACTAGGAAATGGCTTGGGAAGAATATATAAGATGGAAGATCACACATTTTTATTTAAAGTAGAGTTGAAAGAACAAAACTATCAAATGGATGAAATTAGGTCAACAATGGACAAAGTTGATTAATTACAAGAGCCAACATTTATTGAATGCCTACTCTGCCCCAAGCATTGTGCTTATGTGGGGGGTACTCTAATTCTATATCCATTTTATGCATGAAGGAACTGAAAATTAGAGAATGATCTTATCTGTCTAGTTCAACCCCACTCCTCAGCACCTGTAAGAGTAATACATAGTAAGTGCTCATTAAATTTTTATTTTGAACAAATAAAAACTAATCTGAGAACAAGTAACTCAAATGAAAGAGCCAAGAATGTTCCTTCAACTTTTTATTTTGAAAAATTTCAAACCCCCAGAAAAGTAATAATACCTGACAAAAAACTCTTACATGGGAGGAGCTTCAAGACAGTGGAAGAGTAAGATGCGGGGATTACCTTCTTCCCCACATATACATCAAAAAACTCTTACGTGTGTATCTTCACCTAGATATACCAGTTGTTAACGTTTCCACATTTATTATTTATTTTTGCTGAAACATTTGAAAATAAGTTGCAGACATGATACTTCACTCCTAAATACTTCAGCATGCATCTCCTAAGAATAAGTACAGTCTCCTAAGTACAATTTCATTAGCACATTTTTTTTTTTTTTTTTGCTGTACGCGGGCCTCTCACTGCTGTGGCCTCTCCTGTTGCAGAGCACAGGCTCCGGACGCACAGGCCCAGCGGCCATGGTTCACGGGCCCAGCCGCTCCGCGGTACGTGGGATCTTCCCGAACCGGGGCACGAACCCATGTCCCGTGCATCGGCAGGCGGACTCTCAACCACTGTGCCACCAGGGAAGCCCAACACATCTATTTTTTATATTAATTCAATAATATCATCTAATTTACAATCCCTATTTAAATTTACCCGATGGTTCCAAAAGTATCTTTTATAGATTTTTTTCTCCAATTCAAGATCCAGACAAGGTTTACATATGCATATCATTTTTTATGTTCCTTTAATCTCTTTTAACCAGAAGCATCTCCCTGCCCTTTGATTTTTTTTTTCAGGATATTGACTTGTTTTTTGTTTTTGTTTTTTTTTTAAGAATTCAGGCTGGTTATCTTATAGAATGTTCTGTAATTGATTTGTCTTATTCTCCCTTTATGATCTGATTCAGGTAAAACACATTCAGCAATTAGACTACATAGGTGATGTAATATACTTCTTATTGTACTACATTAAGAAGCACATAATGTCCGATCACTTTACAATTTGAGAGGGTAATCTGATCATTTGCTTGAGGTGATAATCACCAAATCTCTCTATTTAAAGTGTTGTTTTTCCCCTGGAGCTAAGATTTCTTTTTTCAACAGCGTGTTTCTAGATTATTCCCCCATGGCTGCCCTATGCTAAATACTTTATAATTTCATCTTCACAATTAATTAGATTTTTAAAGAGCATAGGAAATCATCACCAAGTTCTTTGCCAGGTAATCTAAAACATAAGTATAAAAAGAAAATGAAAACCTACTATGTAAACACAAATCTCTTTGATTTCAGAGACCAAGCTTTTAACCACTAGAGTAAAGTGTCTTTTATAAATTCAGCACTTTGTTCTTATGTTGAGACAACATGACAGACTAAGACTAACATGAAACATCTCCCATTACAAGTATAAAAAGAATCTATGGGAAATTAATATTAAATATATAGAACTTACATTTCTGCTGATGGCAGAACAGATAATTCTGACAAGATATCCTACTCAGGACAACTCGAAAACCTGGGGGGGAAATTAATCTATTTGAAGGCATCCCAGAGCTAATAAGATAGAAAAGAAATATTGGACCAGTTTCTGGGGAAAGAAAGAGAACCAAAGAGGTAAGTCAATAATTGAGGTTAATCTTGCCGTGAAGCATTTGCCAGTTTCTGCAGGAGCAGCTGAGAGATTAAGTAGATTTTGAAAGCCTGCAAGGCCGTGAGGACAATGAGCAGAATCTAGGATTCACTAAGAGAAAGGGAACCAGTAACCCCTCTCCTTAGTGATCTACCTTCTTGTGGTTTGGGACCCAGAAGGACAACATCCTAGGAATGGAAGTGACCTGGAAGTACATAGTATCTCACAGGAAAGCCATGCACCTTCAAAACATCTCAACCTCTGAAACTGCAATGAGAGGATCCCAGAAGAATAATGCCCTAGACACCTGGCAGAAGCAAAAA